TTTGACAAGATAATATAAATTTTCCAAAACATGTCCACATTTATAATTTCACTTTATTTTCACAACAATCCTGTGCTGAAGGTTAATAAATAGGGCAGTAATTGTTAATCAGATTTTACAGAAGAAAAGTAAGGTATCGGAGTCAAGAATCTCCCCTAAACACGCAAGAAGCTAAAAGAGCCAGAACAAACAGGTTTCCTAACTCCTAACCTTGTAATATAGGCAATGCAATGCACAACTGGGGCTTGCTTCTCCAGACTGGTTCCATAACAGTAGAACCATGCCCAGTAACACAGAAGACCACATCATCTATGGTTCACAGCAACAAACATTTATCCAACGCCGATTACATGTTAATCTATATGCTAATCATGCCTATAGTCTCTACGATAGGGACATTCATCCGACATAGAAAAAGATTAAAAATAAAATCTGAAACCACAACCTTGAAAAGGTAGTGGAATCTCTATAACATAAGTCAAAAGCAAATATGCTCAGGGGGTGGGGAGTGGGGGTAAATACAGAGTTGGGGAGAAGAGAGGAGTCTCTGTGGGAGCCTCACATCTGGACTTGGAGGAGCTGCTATCACCAGTCAGTCAAGAATGGGAGGGAAGGAAGAGTACACGCTAGGGAGCCCTCCTGGGGCTCAGCCGCACAAAGAGCTGCTGTTATCCATGTTGGGTGTGTGTTTGCCAGAAACATCAGGGCTGCTGGAGCTCCAGAAGTTACAAGGGCGTGCTTTTGTGGAGTCTAAATTACCTTGACTATATATGAACGCAAGTCAGAGGGCATAACTTCATCATTCATTCGTAGCCAAAAGATAACATGATTAGGAATCATGCAACTTTTTCTCTGCTTTTCCCCCAAGTTTTGAGAAGCATTCCTCGTAAAAATCCACGAGATTGTGATCACAATCATGCTAATTATAAATCAGCCCTTCAAAAGAAAAAAGAGAGGGTTTCATCTCCACTTAAATAGAATTGTTAAATATTCCTTATTAATTTTAACAGCTGCTTTTCTAAGATTAAAAATAATAATAAAAATTACTATAGACTGAGAACACAAAACTATAATTAACTTGAAAGAATCTTTTAGAAAATTTGATTCTGTAACTGTCCTGTCTGCCCATCTTATAGATTAGTTCAAAATGACTGAGGTGATGAAGCATCTGCCAATCCATGTAGAAAACTGTAGCAATACTGCTGAAAAAAGTTCCTCTCACTTCTCACAAGACCAAAGAAACACAAATCAAAACAAAGGGATACAATTTTACACTGGCTACATAAATTAGTAACAATAATATAAATGTTTTAAAGTAACAAGCACACACACAGATTGTTAATGAGGTATAAATTTATATAATCCTTTTGGAAAGTAAGTTGGTGATTATCAGAAATCAGAAAAATTCCTAATAAAAATAAGAGCTAACATTCACTAGTATATGTGTTGTCGTGTATTGCAGCTTTTTATTTTAACAACTTTACAGAGTTATTACTATACCCATTTTACAGGTTAGAAAGCTCTGAGAACATAAGTTACTGGCCTAGTATTGCCCATAAGTGATGGAGCTAGGTTTCTGGACCCTGAATCTTTATTTTAAAGCCCACCCAATTACAGCTACACTATACTGAACAATCCTAAGGAAGTTTTTAAAAAGAGTAAGAAGAAGGTTACATTCATGAGGATGGGCATCATATATTTTTTAAATACTGGGAGGGGGAATCTTAAAATAGAGGAAGGGCTAATAAATTATGGTATGACAAACTAATTACAAATAATAGGAAGTGAATTATAGCAAAATGTTTATGAAAAATCAGTGTAAAAATGTATCTGCAATATGATAAGACATCTGTAAAAATGTATGTTCATGTGGCAAGACTAGGAAGAAAACTGAAAAAATAAAAACTATTCCATTTTAGAAGGATTTCGCTATTAGTACTTAATTTTATTTGGTTTTTGTGAATTTTGTCAATCAAGATTACTCTAAGTACCCCTACAAATCTATGCCAGTTCTAAACAATTTCTAGTTGTAATAACAATTTCTAAAACTTCACTATAATTTATTTATATTACAGACTTATTCAAAATAATTACATAATACTTAATAATTACATAAGATTTAAAGTATGAGATCTTCCTAACATCAATGATATTTGCAATCACCACTTACAGCATTCTTTTGAAATCCCTTAATTGAGATCATACACAATGACTAAAATAAGCTAATTTTTTTACTGTCATAACCTTGCAATGACTCCTCAGCTCCCTGTGCCCATCCAGGAATCATTAGCCCAAAGGTTGCAGGTATTTTAGAGATGAGAAAAGTTTTCTACTAATAACATTATCTCTAAGTGAATAAGTATAAAAGTAACTAAAATATCTTAGCTATAAGGGATATTCATTTTCTAAATACCTTTGAGAATTACTAATTAAGTCACATCAAGTCCCTTTGAAGTAGACACATGAACTTTACTACCACTTTAACAAAAAAAGAAAAGTAAGATGCTGGGAAGAGTAATTTCCCCCAAAATGATACCGTGAGCTGTGAAGAAAATTCACTCTCCTGAGCCATACAAGGTGATGCAGGGAGGCCCATTCAGCTCAAGGTTTGACCCCTTTCAGCAAAAAACAGACATTGTGTGGGAAAGTAAAGCAGCTGTTCTCCAATAATATCAGTATCATAAGAGCAGGAATGTAATTTAAACATCTATGACTTCCTCTTTATGAATCTACCATTCAGGAATTTATTCTGTCACTCTACAGGTCCACCTGGGTTATCCTCAGGCAGTCTTAGGACACCTACAGAAACTTTTTAATCAGAGAAGCTTGGAGTTAGAAGGACCCTTATAGGCCCCATAGTTCAATTCCTTTAATTGAGGGGGAAACAAAAGCATTTCTAAGAAAGTGACCTCATTTAGCTAGAGCAAACCCAGACTTGCAACTAGAAGATGTGAACTAACGTCTTAAACTTGGCCTTCATATTTCTCTTACCATTAAAATTTTTATAGTAAGTCATATTAACAAAAGTATGCATATGTCCTTCCAATGTCTTCAGATATATATGGCACCAGACAAAATAAACTTATTGTTCTCATTCTCTACTTGATAAAGAGTTCCAAAATGGAGAAAAAAAGTCAAGGAAGGCTATAAAAACAACCGGTGATGGGGGTGCAGGTGGGGTAATAGCGGAATAGTTCTGCTTTCTCATGGATACTTGCTCTAAGAAGTTTAGTACTCCAACTGGTCTTCAGCTGTAATAAGTCTTCCCTAGGCCAAATAAAAGGTTCTAATGTCATCATGAGTGAATATCAAATTAATAGCTATCACCATTGATACATAATTCATTCTTTAATTACATTCAGTTCCTTTCTTCTTTTATTTCCATAATGTAATTCCATTTTAATAGGAAGCTCATGGAAGGATATACAAGAAATTGACAACAGTGACCTGGGGGGTGGGGGGGGGGGAGGGTGTAGGGCGTTGGGAGTATGGGGTGGGAGAGAGCTTACTTTACACAGTTAGAAATTGTTACTCTATGCATATTGCTTTGCAATGTACACTAATTAAAAATTTCCCTTTAAACACATGCGTACAATTCTATTACTAAATATTTTCAATAAAACAATTATTTTTAAATTTTCTCTTTTAAATAAGTTTCCAGTATTGCTGTTTGTAAAACCCCATAGATATATTCAACAAGGAGAAAAAAAAAAAAAGAACCAACACAGTCACAAAATTCAAAGCAGAATTCCAGGATTTAAAGTATAAGAAAATGTGTCGAGGGGCCATTTAATTCAGAAACCTTTTGCGGAAAACCTCTTCCCCATAGGTAAATGGTTGGGTTTGAAAAAGAGATGTATGTAGGATTTCCCATAGTTGGTGGGGGGTGGGAGAGGGCGATTCTAAAGGTGTGAAAAGTAGAAATTAAAATTTGGTTTCTATCTTGTGCACAGGGGCCAGGGGGCCGGGTGCGGTGCGTACAGACCTTGAAGCAGTCCCTTCCCTAGAGGAGAGGAACGTGACTGAGTTCCTCCGGGCTCCGTCCGCCTCAGCAGCAGTTCCCGTGCAGATGCACCGGTCCTGGCGCTCACGTGGGCTCCGTGTCACCGAGACAGCCCAGGAGCTGAATCCGTACAGCATCTCTTTTCATGGGGCTCCGGAGAGCGACCGAGGGAACGGCCTGACTTCAGCAAACCGCCTCATCGTGACACCCTCGCCCGGCCAGGGCACACACCTCACCGGGCTGCCTACTGTGTCAGGGTCAGCTGTCAACACAGCCCTTTGTGTCTCGCGCAGAAGAGCAGTGAGCGAGTGGTCCTTCCCCACTCACCGCGGAACGGACGCGATGGCCGGAGACGCGCGCGCGCTCGTGACCAAGTGACATTTAGTGAGGAGCCCAGAGACCCAGGGACGCGAGCAGACGCCCGGCCACCGCTGGACGCTCTCCACTTCCCCCAGCTGAGCGCTCCGCAGCCTCTTGCAGCCGCCTCCGCGCCGCCCGCCCTGCCGCCCACTAGCCCCCGAGAGCCCCTCGCGGCCCCGGAGCTCTGGGGGCCGGCGGGGCGCGCCCCTCGCCACCTCCGCTCCGCGCTGCCCGCCCGCCGCGCTGCCGCCTCCCTATCCCACGCTCGGGCTTCTGGCTCCCGCCACAAAGGCGCGAAGAGGGCTGGGGTGACAGGCCTCCGGCCTCAGGGCGCGCACCGCCCGGGCTGGGTCCTCCCCGGAGCGGACGCGAGGCGCCGGGGAGAACGGGTTCGGGTCCGGACGGCACCGGCGCCTGCCCTCGCCATGCACACACGCTCGCGCGCCCAGCCCCGCGCCGCCCTCCCAGTCCTCCTCCCCACAAGAAGTCCGCCGCCGAGCTCGCTGCCCCGCGCAGGCTGTGTCCGCCGCCCGCCACCGGGCAGCCCCGGCCCCGCAGAGGCGTGCGCTCGCGCCCGGCTGGCGACCTCTCACCTCCCGCCGCCCGGCCGGCGCCCAGCGTCCCCGCAGCCGCTCACCTGGCCGTGGAGTGGCGCGAGGGCAGAGGACCAGGGGGTGGCCCTCGCCTCGGCCGGGGATCGTCTCCCCACCCCCAGTCCGGGTCCCAGCGCTGCGCCTCCGCTCGCCGCGGCCGCCCTCCGCCGAGGTGCTAGCGCCGCCGGTGGCTGGCGTCTCGCGGGCAGGCGCGCAGGTCGCGCGCTCAGTTCCCCGGGGCGGAGCGAGGCGGCGGCCACCGCGGCCGGAGGCGGATTCCTCAGGTGCTGCCCCTCCCGCTGCCCCAGAACCGCCGCCGCCCGGACCCCCGCACCTCCGCCCCCGCCCCGCCTGTCGGTCTCCTGCCGCCTCCGCGCCCCGCGCGTGGCCTCTAGGGCCACCCTGCCCTCGAGTGTCCTGGGCGCACGTTGCCTTACCCACCCCCTCCATTTTCACGCCTCGGTTTCCTAACTCCCCGGCACCGATGATGGGTGTGGCCTCGGCGAGCGTGGAGGGGTCTTCTGGAAGGAAGGTTGCCCCCCGGTGCGGCCGACGCGCGCAGCCAAGAACAACATTTTTTTCTCTCTGATTCCGCGTTTATTCAGTGCTCACGCCTCACTGCGCGATTGCTTTCTCCGTCTAGAGGACGGCGGCTAAAGGGCCCCAAGCGTGAACTCCGCCTGGGCAATGGTGGGTCAAAAACCCTTGGCCTTTTGCAGGAAGGGAGAGGGCAGGGGCAGTACGCGGACAAAACCAACCAGCCCCGGGAGCTCCGGCCAGAGCCCACTTTTGCACCTCCGGGGTGAGCTCGCCGGCCCGGCTCGTCCCGAACTTTAGAACCAAAAGGAATCCTCCGCCCCAGGCAGCCACTTCCAGGGGACCCTGGGCCCTGACGGGTGAGGAAGGGACAAACGTTCCCCAGAGGAGAGGTGCCAGGGCCCGAGAGTGACAGGTTTAGCTCCCCTTTTCACAGCTGGCGGTTTTTCTTACTAGAAATGTAGCTCCATTTTTTCAAACTGTCATTGTTGCCAGACAGGCGACTGGACTCCTTTCTTCCCTGGATTGCCCACACCCTAGAATCAGCAGCTCCATGCTAGGTGTGGTGGGAGAGTCTAGGTAAAGTTTATCTGGTTTTAGTGCCTTTGAGGCAAATAGAGGCCCGGGTAGCTCAGCAAGTAGAGCCCCAGGAAGCTCAGCAGGTAGAGCCCCGGGAAGCCTTGGCGCCCAGTCCCCCCGCGGGTTGGTTAGCATGCTATTGTTACCGTAGTGTTGGCAGTTACAGTTTTAAAACTGCTTTTTTAATTAAAATCGATCTCATATGATCTCTAACTCACTATGTTTTGTTTGCCTGTCTTGCTTGATGTGTTTTTTGAACCAAAATGCAACCCCCCCTCCCCCCCCCCCGTCTTTTGTAGATACAGAGGGAATTGACTGGAAGTCTGGAATCTCCAGAAAATAACTGAAGCCATAGTTCAGTTGAGACCAGCAAAAGTAAGGTATTTGTGGTTCTCTCCAGCTTCCATTGGGAAGACATACTCAAGTGCCATTTTTTAATCGCTTTGTTCCTTGTGAAGATAAGGAGCAGAAATGTTTGTTTGGGTTTTTTTGCTTTGTTTTTTACCATTGCATTCCTATTGTTCAGTCTTTAAAACACATAGAAACATTTTTATGGGCCAGAGAGGGCCAGAAATGTGGCTTTCTCAGTCGCCCCTATACTCCCACAATTCTGGCTCTTGCTTACATACAGGTTTAGTAAATGAAATCGATATGGTTTTTCAATAACTGCAGCAGAGAAAGGTGCAGATGATTAGCAGTATAGCTAAGTGTGTGGGAAAGGAATCCAATGTCAGCAAACTCACCAGGGGAGCTGGCCATATATGTGGAAAAGACAGTGAATAGAAACCTGAGATTTCAAGTTCACCTGGTGAATATAACCTAAGCTCACAAGAGGTTAAAGCAGGTAAGAATCTTTTGAAAAACCCAATCCTTCACAAGGTCTGTATAGTTAGGGAGGGGACACCTTCCATTTTAAAGATAAGAAAACTGAGAACAATGAGCAGCCGTAAAGTAAAACCATAGTGTGGTTTTCTCTCACTTTAGTTCAAGGACCATTTGTTGAGTGCTAAATGCACTAAACTCTGGAGGTGTGAGGGCAAAGTTGGCACACTTGGTCAAGGACCTTAGACTAATATTACAAAACTCTGGCATTCATTCTTCATTCACTCAACAAATATTAATTGAGCACCTACTGTGAGCCAGGTGGTGTAATGGGAACTGTTAAATAAAAAAAGTCCCTAACAAGGTTAAAAGTTAGTGATAGTAATCTACTGTATTCTGGTAGATTGAAACATTTCTATGCATTCTTTATTAGATAACACACTCCCTTGCCCTGAGGTTATTTGTGTGTATGCCTTGTGTCACCTTCAGGGTTTATAGATCTTTCATCATGCCCAACAGATTTCTGTGATTATCAAATTTGATAGAATGAAGAGTGACCACTTTGGAGTTAGGTCCCACATTTTTAAATTCTGGTTCCAAGAATTACTTATTATGTAACCTTGACAAAGTTACTTGACCCCATCTTAGTGTCCCCACCTGTAGAATAACATTATAATAGTGCAAACCTAAGGGAGTAACTATGTGAATTAAGGCAATGCATTGTGCCTAGCACACTGTAAAATGTTAACTGCTATCATTGTCTGTGAATACCTCCACTCTTTCCCATAACAATTATTCCTGAATGCTTCTCCTAAGATAGATACGTTGCATTAGAACCCAAGTTCAATGAAAAATGTGTGTCTCATAGCAGTCAAGGTCCTTAAATAATAGCAGCTTCCTGGGTGGTTATTGTGAAGATCCTTTGCCTGTCAGTGGAAGTTCTGTGATTATATCCTGGTTCTGCTCTCAAGGATGAGCACCCTTTGTCACAAATTTCTGTGGTTCTTGGCTCCACACTCTGGAAGGCTCTTTCTTGGTCTTTATCTTCCATGGCCACATTTCAGTGGCACTGGGAAGTGAGACTGTACAATTTTTACAGCCCATTTCCTGCTGGTACCAGTCTGGGACAACTGGATATCCACATGCTAAAGAATGAATTCTTACATCCACCTTACAGAGAATACAAAAATTAACTCAAAATGGATCTTAGATATACAGTAGTCTCCCCTTATCTGTGGGATATACATTCCAAGACACACACCCCTCCATGGATGCCTGAAACCACAGGTAGTCCCCAAACCTATATGTATTATTTTTTTTCTGTACATACCTATGATAAAGTTTAATTTCTAAATTAGGCACAGTAAGAGATTAACAACAATAATAAAATAGAACAATTGTAACAACATACTGTAATAAAAATAAAAGTTGTGAAAGTTTGGGGTCATTAAGTAAAATAAAGGTTACTTGAACACAAGCACTGTAATACTGGGGCAATCAATCTGATAACTAAGATGGCTAAAAGTGACTAATGGGTGGGGAGTGTATACAGCATGCATATGCTAGACAAAGGGATGCTTTACATTCCTGCTAAGCAGAAAGTAGCAAGATGGTATCACACTACTCAGAATAGCATGAAATTTAAAATTGTATAAATTAGTTTTGAAATTTTCCATTTAGTGTTTTCAGATTGTGGTTGACTGATGGTAACTGAGACTGTGGAAAATGAAGCCACAGGTGGCTTTACTCATATTGTAAAACTATAGAGTTGTTTGACAATGGATTAGGTAATGATTTCTTAATATGACACCAAAAGTATAAGCAACAAAGGAAAAACTAGGTAAATTAACTTATAAAATTAAAAACTTTTGTGCATCAAAGGACAGTATCAAGAAAGTGAAAAGGCAACCTACAATATGGGAAAATATCTTCGGGTGAGGATTAAAAAAGTAATAATAAATTAAAATCACAATATGCCACTTTACATTCATTAGAATGGCAATTAGTAAAAAACAAATTAAAAAAAAAACAGAAACAGAAAATAGCAGGATACATACAATGAAATATCATCCAGCTTTAAAAAGGAAGGGAATTCTGACACATGCAACAGCTGGGATGAACCTTGAAGACAGTATGCTCAATGAAATAAACCAATAACAAAAGGACAAATACTCTTTAATTCCACTTATATGAAGTATCTGGAGTGGTCAAATTCACAGAAACAAAGTGGTGGTTGATGAAGAGGCAGAGGTGGTGAGGAGTTGTTGTTTAGTGGGTATAGTTATTAGGGTTAGGGTTAGAGTTTCAGTTTGGGAACATGAAAAAGTTCTAGAGATGGGTGGTAATGATGAATGTACAACAATATGAATATACTTAATGCAACAGAACTGTACCTTCAAAAATGGTTAAAATGGTAAGTTTTATATTGTGTATAGTTCACCATAATCTTTTAAAGGTTCTAATTTTTTTTTTTTTTAAAAAAAGATACAATAACAGATGTTAGTAAAGACATGGAGAAATGGGACCCTTATACACTGCTGGTAGGAATGTAAGTGTAAAATGATGGAGCCACTGTGAAAAACAGTCTGGCAGTTCCTCAAAAAGTTAAATAGAGTTATAATATGACCCAACAATTCCACTGCTAGATATATACCCAGGACTATTTAAAACATATATTCACGCATAAACTTGTACATGAATGTTCATAGTAGCATTATCCACAGTAGTCAAAAAGTGGACACAACCTACATGTCCATAAGCAGATGAATGGATAAAAAAGTGGTATATACATACAATAGAACATTATTCAGCTTTAAAAAGAAAGGAAATCCTGACACATGCTACAATATGGATGAACCTGGAGAACATTATGCTAACTTGCTTTTTAAGCTATTTAGGTTATCCTATAATACCTTCTTTAAATGTTTGTATCTCTTTGTAGATACTTTTAGTAGAGAGATCATGAAATCTGTGATTTCTTTGAGACTATGCAGAACTAGCTGTTGGAATGTTTTATCTGTTTCTTTGATAGGTTTTCTGAAAAGTTGGGTTTTTTCCTCTACCTTTTTGCTTATGTTTCTTTCCTCCTCTTTATTTATTACTTTCCAGTTTTTCCAGTTTTTTTTTAACACACACATGTTCCACCGTGATATTTTCTTGTTAACATTACTTACTTTTATTTGCTGAAGAATAGTGTGAGGTGGAGGGATAAGAAAAGGTAAAGAGAGAGAGAAAAGATGAATTTGGCCGTCCCAAGGGTGATTTGAACTTCTTTTTTTTTTTTTTTA